TTTCATGGAATGGCACGGAAGTGTCATATTGAAGGTTCCATGATAACCGCCGTATGAACACATCTGCGGATGTTTCTAAATTCAAAATTTTACTATTTCATGTTTAAATGTTGAATTCTGCTTAAGCCGGTGCTAGGGGGCGTGGACGGTAACTTACACTTTCCAGTACCGTCCATTAACAGGCTCAATCAAACCGAGCCTGCAACATTTTCAATTTTGTCGTGTTGGGCATTCTTTACGGATTCTGTATTTATGTATTGAGCGGCGGTACTCAGTTTTCAACACTTAAAAGTGCTGGAATAAATGATCCTGAAGCCATGACATAAAGATCAAGATATAAATTGCGACTTTCTAACGACATTATCTAGTCAAACAGAACCATGGGAAAGATATTCATGCAGGGCTCTGATGTCATCTTTAAATAAAAATATTTCTACAATACCTGCGTTTTCGTTCTTATATCACTTCAATTTATCGTTTCATTTATCAAAGGGACAAAACTGCAACATATTCGAATGTTACTTAGCTGTCGCGATTGTTTCCCTTAAGTAGTATCTTGTTATTGTTGAAGTAGGACTAAATCTGTTAAAGAATTCTTAAAAAGTACAATCAACATTGTAATACGGATATGTGCTCAATATTTCACATATTTCATAAGAATACGAACAATTGTATGAACTTAACTTGATATTCACAGAATTTATTAAAGAGTAATATTTCATACGAAAAGAGTGCATTCCCCTTGTTTTTAAACTTCCGTGTTCTAAAGTTCAAAAGTTTGCTTTTTGATTAGAAGGTAAGAAATGTAATAATAATAATATCATATTTACAATAAATCATATTTCAAACGTTTCTTAACAAGGTGAATTTAAGTACTTAATAGTGTTGTGTTTATTACATTCTTTTAGGATAAATATGTATATTGATAGATTTCACAACATGTCATGTAACTTAAGTACACATTGTAAATAAACGAACGGGTGTGTTGTATAGTGGATGAACTGACTTTTACATTTTTATACTATTAGTGTATATAACTGCTCTGATCAACTCGCACATTCAAACTCCCCAGACTGGGCTTTAAGACAAGTATTTATCATGAAAACTCAACAAGTAAAACCACTGATGTACAGCGTCCACCGGATATAGCCCCAAAAAACATCGAAAACGAAAGTAGAAAGCTGCACACCGAGTACACCCAAGGTAATGTTTTAACTTATTTCTTCATCATAACTTTATCGATTTTTCCATACTAAACAATATTGTGAAGCTAAATATGTCTAGTTTTAGAGCAGTGTTTGCTTTTCTCTGCAAATTCAATACTTTTTGTTAAATTGGTGATAAATTGTAGCGTATTTGTTGACAATTGCGAACGATGTTGATATTTACCACTAAATCAAGCCCAAAACGCATTTGCTGTATCAAATTTCGCCGTTAATACAAACTATAGTCATTCCTCTACTAATATTTGAGTTTTCACTCTTCAACTCGAGCTGCTTTTAACAAAATTTACAAAAAACGGCATTGCCTTGTGTACAGAGTCTAGCACGGATATGTACGGGGTGTAGTAGGTAAACAAATGTCATTTTCTGCAAAATAAATTCAGAACCAGAGCATATACACGTACGCTGATGAAGAAAACGATCAATGTCGGGAGCAAGGATTGTGAGTTGAATGATTTTAATTTTATAAAGGATAAAAATGTTTAATAAAATTATTAACATGTTACCAAACAGTAAACAGTTTCCGTCCTGCTAGACCACTTTTCATGCGTGACTATAAGTTACAATGTAATAGGAAAAATGTTAAACTCAAAAGACCACAATTTCAATCCATATTGGAAGAACATTACATCAAATTCTATAATGTGTCTTAAACAATATCAAACCATGTTCGAGTTATGCATTGTGAACAAAACTTGATCTAAACTTGTCATATTCGTTTATTAGTTTACCGGTCTTAAGACTTCATTGAAAAACAATAATATACAATGCTGCCGCTTATGCTGCTGCTTTTCAGAAAATGATAATAATGACTATTCAATGATGATGACGATGATGATAATATGATGGTATTTTAGTTTTCAGTTCAACAATGCCATATCAATGAACAGCTAGAGTGTGCAGAGATATATGAAACATTGAAAGAGTCTATTCGGCATATTATAGAATATCCTTTCAATTTGGAAATTCGACATAGAGAGTTAGAAGTGAATTCATCTGATGTTTCTTCCACAAATGCTGACATGTATTGGACTTATCTCAAGAAGATGACACATTTGCAGAGTTAGTACAGATTCTACCAGCTGTGATGACAGTGGTCAGCTAGAAGAATATGTACTATACAACAAATTGTAGCAGAGAAACGGTATCTCAATTCTAAGTCGACAAGGCGGCTAGAACTGTTTTATAATTTTTTAAGACAGTGCTAATGCCGTTTTGTAGAAAACGACACTCGTGCATAATCTTTTAAGTGTCTGTCTGATCAATTATCGACCTCCTGTCTTATGTGTAGGTTAGTTATACATGTATATATATGAATATATCCCCATTCGAACCATTTTCATTCAGCGAGTTGGTCAGAAAACTCCCCAACACGTCTTATAAATACCGACAGACACTATTCAGCTTATGATTGTCATGGTGTGACACGTAGAACAAAAACACTAAAAAGTTAAATTATTTAACAAATAACTCTTTATCCTCCTCTAATTTTTCATGTTTAGTCTGAAATGAGATTATTTCCAATTAAAAAATAATATAAAAGACTATACTTTAAAAAATATGTTACTGCTAGACTCCGTAAACATCTACTTAACTCTGTACATTAAAGTACTACACCCCGTTCACTTGAATTTGTATTCTTTGCTAGACTCTGTACACAAGGCAAGGCCGTTTTTTTTGCAAATTTTGTTAAAAGCAGCTCGAGTTGAAGGATGAATACTGAAACATATGTAGAGGGATGACTATAGTTTGTATTAAGGGCGGAATTTGATACAGCAAATGCATTTTGGGCTTGATTTACTGGTAAATATCAACATCGTTTGCACATGTCAACAAATAGGCTACATTTTTCACCAAGTTAACAAAAAGTATTCAATTTGCAAACAAAAGCGAATATTGCTCTAAAACTAGAAACATTTAGCTTCACAAAATTGTTTAGTTTGGAAAAATCGATGAAGTTATGATGAAGAAATAAGTTAAAACATTACCTTGGGTGTACTCGGTGTGCAGCTTTCTACTTTCGTTTTCGGTGTTTTTAGGGGCTATATCCGGTGGACGCTGTACAAAAGTGAAAACTGTCAACATAAATATACATTCTCCTAATAATTGATATTTGATATACATGCACGCGCCTTGAGTTGTATGTAGAACTGATATCGATCATTCTTGACATATGAATTTTGTACACCTTTATATACATGAATTGTGAAATTAGATAAAAGCCTAAATGTATATCTACATGTCGACTTGTCATGATGTGCAAACAGTATTTATCTAAATTTGTCAATACAGTTAACATAAGTTAATAATAACTTTGTGTCCGAAAGGTAGTTTTTTGTATATGTAGTGAATATTTGTTGCGTTTGTTTTTGAAGCATGGGGGTTCCTTTTTTGTTTATTTTTTATTTTATTTTGCCCAGTTACTTATCAAATTTCCTTAGAATACCTACGCATATTGAAGCAAATTAGCAACAGATAAAAATAAAGTAGAACAAACTTTAACTTTAAAGGCACATTATGCTTCCAAACCAAATAATTTTCTTTCCTTAGTAAGGGCAACATGAGTTTTAAAACCTTTCAATAAGGTATTTTTATAATGTTAGATCATTATATCCTTAAGACTCAATGTATCGATAAATGTGAAAATACTTGTCATGAATGTAGCAAAATGTAAATAAATTAGGATTTTGACTTTCATACAAAATTCAAAGTTAATAAAACTGTACCAATTGCCCCCCCCCCCCGGCCCCTTCTTTTCGAAAATTATCAGAGGACACCAACAATAATTTGTTTTTTGAAAAATAAAAATTTAAGCATTTGTTGGGTGTAATGGGCCTTTAAGGAAAGAAATTAGCAAACATTATGAATGTTCAAATGTAAGTTTATATGAAATATTTATACAGTTAAAAAAGATTTATTTTCCCAGAAAATCGCTTCTAGTGAATTAATCCGGTGGAGGATACGCGCCCTGCCCCCCCCCCCGGCATATACATATTCTGTGTCATTATTTTTAAGGCCTGGCTACAGCATTTTTAAAGGTCGTTTATATGAGGAACTTAAGTTTCCGCTAGTTATTCAAGGAAAGGTCTATCTATATTTCTAAATTTGATACTTCTTTCATTATATTTAATCAAATGAAAATATCCTTTTATTTCAAAATATTGACCTTTTGTTCATTTAGTTATTTAATTTATTCTTACCTACCCTTTACACACTGTATTCCCGTTAATCAGACAGATAAAGGATGCAATAATGAAATTGTTGATAGTATTAGCATTAAATGATGAAACTGATGGTCAAAATTTTATAAAAATACAAACGATTAAATCATCTTAATAAGATGTGTACGGCAAAAATAGAGGGTGAAAACTGACGAAGCATTAACGGCACACTTTGTCCCAGAAACAAAAAAAAGAAGATTTTATTCTTTTGGAAGTGCAAACATGAATTTTATGATGTAAAATAATGATTTTAGAGATTATAAGATGTTTGTTACATGAAGAAAATAATGATAAATGTGAAATAATAAAAGTAGCAAAATGTAAACAACATAGAATTTTGACTTCCATACAAAATACTTATTCATTATAACTGTACATATTGTCAAAAAGGAAGAGATTGAAAAAATGGTTCAGGTTAATGTTCAATGAGTAACTTTTTTGGATACTGTAAAAGTACACCAAAATTAAAAAAAAAAAATTTTGAGAAATAAAAATTAAAACATTTCTAAAGAATAATGGACCTTTAAATAAAAACAAAATGTAAAACATTATTTTGATGTAATATTGTTTTCAGGCATGAATGGAGGTCTCCGGGAAACTTGGTCACGACGACTCGACATTAGTATGTATCCCGTGTGATAGAGATGCTGTAAAGGAACCAGCTTATGGTTTTTGCCAGGACTGCCAGGAGCATCTATGTGAAACATGCTACAAACATCACAGACGTGCACGTCCATTACGAAATCATGTCCTCATTGACAAAGAATCCATGCCAAAGACCCGGGCAATTGCATCTTCAACATCGGACGATACGGTGGATCATTGCGAGAAACACCTTGATAAACCATTAGAATTCTATTGTAGAGATCACAAACTGGTGGCTTGTTATGTTTGTGTGACACTGGAACACAAACAGTGTAAGGTGAACTATATTCCTGATGTTTCTGAAAACATGTCTGATGAGATGACTGATGTATTAGAACAGTTGGAATCGTTTATTAAAAGATGTAAATCGAAGGTAGAATATGTTAATAAAGCTGCGCGAAATCTAGACCAGAGTCATGCGAAAGTTGTTGAAGATATCAAAGTTTTCAGGAAAGAAATAAATGAATGTTTGGATAGAATGGAAAACCAAATATTCAAAGAAGCTGACTTAATGGTAAACAGTGAAAAAAGTAAAGAGGAAACCGTATTAAATGCTTGCTTAGAGATAACTGAAGAACTTGAATGTTCACATTCGTTGTTAATTGCATTAAGAGAAGAAAACAAGCAAAACAAGCTTTTCATTGAGATGAAAAACGCCGAAAAACGTCTACCGATATTGACAGATAAGGAAGTGCAAGTATTAGATGCAAATACAACAATCGAATGTATCCAATTTACAAGGAACACGAGCCTCTTAGATCGGCTGAAGAACGAGATTGAATTTGGAACATTGTTAACATGTGTACAACCGTCACCAGATAAAACATTAAACTTACAATATGATCATACACTAAACGTGAAGTTTAAATCCGATAAGAAACAATGCCATATCTTGGGTATAGCTATGATTGCTCCTATGAAAATAATTGTTGCTGACAATGCCAACAACAGTATCAAAATGATAGACGTTGAGACAAAATCAGTTATAATAGAGACAATTTTGTCTTCACAGCCATATGATGTTATAGCTATTCCAGGAAATAAACTAGCTGTGACTTTAACAAATGAAAAATGTATTCAGTTATTGTCTCATACTGAAGCAGAATTTTCATTAGATCGACGTATAGCTGTAGGAGAAAATTGCAGTGGTGTAGCTTATTGCCAGAATAAGTTTGTTGTCTCTTGCAGGGCATCAAAGAAAATAATTATTATCAATGATGAAGGAAATATTCTCAATGTCCTTGGTTCTCCTGCTATGTTTTATGGACCAGTCAGAGTTTCGGTCCGCAATGATGAGACGTTCCTATATGTTTCGGATACGGATTTTGAAAACAATAGCAAGGTTGTGAAAATTGATTGGGAAGGAAAACAAATTCGAAGACTCAAGATGTAAATCTCCTTTGGCCCTACAACTTTTAGAAGATAAAACGACACTCGTGTGTTACAGAGACAGTAACACTGTCCTGAGATTTTCGAACAGCTTAAAAAGATGTCATACTATTGGACTAGAGAAAGCAAATATTTATTCCCCAACAGCTGTAACATACTGTGACAGAGAACAAAAACTGTACGTAAGTTGTTCATCAAAGAAAGAAAATTGGACGGCTGATATTGTTAAAGTATTCCGTGTGAATTGGATCTAGGCGTTACAATGAATATTGTTGTCATACGTAACAGGTGTGTAAGTTTCATAAACGTATAAAATTTTCACTTCACAATAAAACGTTGAAGAATCGAATAATTGTCAATGTTGACATTCTTCACATTTTCTATTGCAAACCGATTTTATTCCCTAACCATAAATGGTGCTTTTAAATATATATAGAACATATATCTTGTGACAGTTTTGCAATTTTGGATTTGACTAGAAATGTTGATTTAACAAGCATGTTACGTTGATATGAATATGTTACACAAATGATAAAAATTAGTTTCTGACACATATTAAAAGATTCAGGATATGGAGGTCCTTATGGTCTACAACCATTCGAAGATGAGACGATACTTGTGTGTTTCCAAGATAACGATATTTCTTGAGACAGGCTAGCAGCTTTAAGAGACATTGAATTATTTGACTAGAGGATATTTATCATCTATTAGCTAAAACATTCTTTGACATAGAATATATGAATGCTGAAATTGTCAAATCAAGTGTTTTAATATTAAACGGATATAAACATAACCAGAAATAATATAACGTCATAAACATCAACATAATGTGTTTATTTGAACCCTTCGCACTTTGTAGCAAAGAAAGTTGGCTATTGTTTTACAAAATAATGGTTGACAATTTACACAATTTGACTATAATAATTTAATATGAAAAAAGTACATCTTTTTTATATTTCTACTGTTCTCAACTAGAAGTGAATTGTATATATTAGCATTTAATTTTCATCGCCATATGTAACAAAATATTTGGTGATTGGTATATAAAATTAAATATAATTAAAGAAATAAAAGGAATTGTATTAATATCGTCATTCTGATTTTAATTCTTTCCTGTTAAGTAAGGGATGTTTATATGCTTCTGTTTGTAAACCAGCTGTAGGGAATTATTTACATTTAAAGGGAGACACAGGCAAAATTTTCATTTCTTCATTTTGATTTTTTCATTCATTATTCTGTAAACGTGACTAAGCAGTCACAGGAACAAAACTTTTCTCCTAATAGTCCTTATAGGAAGAAAATGTAGGTTTCCTTACTTGATCCACGTGGGTCAGGTAAGAGCGTTAAGATTTCACAATAGTTGTCAAAGTGAACTTTGGAGACGTTAAAAAAACATGTCAAATGAATTACTTAGACTTGTTTCAATAATACATATCCACAACAGTTATAATTGTAAGTTTCAGTGTTTGTTCAAGCTACACGACTTGTTTTTAAACTACTTGGTGATTCCGTCGGCGCCTAAATTTCGTTTAACTCAACATATAAATATATTTACGATTCAAACCCAAAATATATAGAATTTATACAGAAATTCATGCCGAGAATTTATAAAATGTCATTTTGATGTGATTAGAGTACACAATATCATTTTAATATTTTGTCATTAATTTGCCTGAGTATCACTTTAAGGTTTGTTTAGCGATGATCAAGCCTACGTTTATATCCCCGCCTTTTTTTTCTAAACAAATGGTCAAAGCTTAACATGATTTTATAGCGTATATTTTGTGTCCGGTTCATAACTTTTTCATATATCAAGGGATTTGAATTTTAGAATCAATTGGCACTAATGTTCACAATAATAAGATGACGTGTCATGTGCAATACCCGGAACCCTATCTCCAATGTCAATGTCATAAATGTAGATCAATGATTAACATGGTCTATTGAGTATATTTGTGTCCGGTCAATAATTTTTTCATCGTTTATGTGATTCTTAAATTACTTATAGAAGTGTTTACAATAATAAGATGATGTGTCATGCGTAACACCCGCACCCTACCTTTACGGTCAATGTCACACTTGAAGGTCAAGCTTAACATGGTCTGTCATAGGATATATTTTGTGTCCGGTCCATACCATTTCATGAATCAATCAAGGTTACACTTACATTTCAAAGGTAATCGTGATCTTTTTTTTTTCTTTAACGAGAATAACTTCAAAAGTATTAGAGTTTCCAGAAAAAGAACCACAACTCCGTATAGAATAATTGTTATTACACTGAAAGTCCAGATCCATACCTCAATCTTTTGAAAAAGCACAGTGTGATGCTCAATGTAAAACTTCCCTTAGGCGGGGGATTTATATCCAACAAAAGTGCTTTATTAGTCAATAAGATTTTAGAGTGGTGATGGTGGTTTTAAGGCAGTTGGACTATTCGTGAGATCTATGGGTGAGAATAATAGTATTGAATGTTTCGTTGTTGTTTTTTCCGGCTATTTTACCTGACCACTTTTTATGGATATACTATGCTCATCCTTGAGTAAAACATTTTAATCACAGAGATTTATTGAAATGTATGAACTTCTTACTGAATATGCTTAATTTGATTAAAAGAATGAAACAATTGTGTACGTGTATGGGAAGCTGCGTTCCCTATTACAAGTAAATTAAAGTTGGTGTTTGCCTAAAGAACTGATTTTTATTAACGCTACATATTCATATTTTGACCGCCTTTAGTGTATATTATTTTAAACATTATAGATCCACTTTGTGAACAGTCAGAACACGTTTATGTTAATTTACAAAGAGACTTAATAGCAATTATCAATATTTTCTAATATCAAATTTGAGCATAGTATATCTCTGAGGTCTACTCTTCAGAGAGACATGCTCATGTAATGTTTTTTATGTTTAACATACTCCATACTCCCTCTTCTTCTCATTAAAATCATCAACTCAGTTTTCTTATATTATTATTTGGTCAAGCTTCAAATGATTGAGGTCACATAATTCGGAACTTTTGACCTCAAAATCAATACATAAATAAATTGGGCTTGACTAATTGAACCTCCACACTAAATCTTAGGTCAAGATATTTTTTTGAGTTTTATATATTGATCAGAAAAGCATTTTGTGGTCAAGGTCACAGTGACCTTCAAGCTATTAACCTTGCAGTATAAGGTGGTCATCTACTACGTATGACAAAATGTATGTACTATATATCAAAATGATATGAAGATTTTGATCGCATAAGCTTTCTTTTCAATGTTACAACTACATCAACCTTCAGATATTTGCCCTAAATACTAACCGGTGTCATCTAATAGTCAATACCAACCTCCAACTAAATATATGGATTCTTGGCCTTGGCATTTGCTAGTTATAGGTTGGACAAACATTTTTGCGAGGTCCCAGTGACAATTATAACCTAGGGTTTCTCAAGTCACTGTGATCTTAAATTTAAGCGACTGTTGTCTAGCATTGTCTAATCATCGTCTGGGTTTACCGACAACATACAAAGCAATTTTTATGGAAGAGGATGGGGAATACTAGTAATAGTTCTTTAAAAGCTTAATCATTTTAAAATGTTATCATTTTGTAGTCTCTAAAGTTGAAGCAAGTTATTTATAGTTATATCTTCACTTTGTGAAAGAAGTAGTTTTTATCATTGATATTTTAAAACCTTGCTTTAATTGAACACGTATCATGACAAAGTATTCATTTGAAATGAACGTATAAGTATAGAAATCAACGTCAAAGTAAAGGTCGAAAGGCTGTACAGCTCTTTGCTTGTGGTGTTTTATTTTTCCCTCAAATGATTTTCGTCAAGTGCAAACTTTATAACGTCTTTAGCATTTTCTAACAATTTGATATGTCTTAATAAATGATATAATTAGTAAATTGTAAAATTCATTCGCATTTGACATTAAAACATGGTTATTGTTATCAAACATTTTGATTGCATTTGTTTAATTCATGCATCTGTCATTTATTCTAAATGTGTGATTGCATTGAAATTGAAATAATCTTGTTATTTTAACTTATAGTTTCCTCATTATTTATTACAAATCAAGTTATGAACACATTTTTTAAATTAATCAACATAACTTCAGTACCAAACAACCCATTTATCAGTGCTTGAAAGTAATCAGTATCATTGATGATAAATATTACTTTTGAGGATGTGATGAAAATATGGTAAAGTAAAGTAACACTTGTCTACTTTTTAAATTTATCTCTAAATAATCCGTTGAATGTGTTTATTTATTTCAGTTCAAAGAAAGGAGATGGATGAATCCTCGGAATCATTAGTCACAACAAAATTACATGAAAATAACAGACTCGGTTTGATAGAGTCTGTACATGTGTGATTAATAATAAATGCAACATGTCTCACCACCACTAGCACCGGCTTGAGCGACGGTACTAAGTTTTTAACACTTAAAAGTGCTGGAATCAATGATCCTGAAGCCATAACTTAAAGATCAAGATAGAAATTGCGACTTTCTAACGACATTATCTAGTCAAACAGAACCACGGGAAAGACATTCATGCAGGGTCATGATGTCATCTTTACATAAAGATATTTCTATAATACCTAAGTTCGTTCTCATATCAATTCAATTGATCGTTTTATTCATCAAAGGACAAAACTGCAACACATTCGAATGTTACTTAACTGTCGCGATTGTTTCCCTGTGTAGTGTCAAGTTATTGGTAAAGTAAGACTAAATCTGTAACAGAAGGAATTCTTTAAAAGTTCGAGCAACATTGTAATACGGATATGTGCTTAAATTAATATTGCACATATTTCATAAGAATACGAACAATTGTATAAACTTAACTTTATTTACACAGAATTTATTAAAGATTAATTTTTCATACAACAAGAGTGCATTCCCCTTTTTTTGAAACTTCCGCGTTCCAAAGTTCAATCAATACGTTGCTTGTTGGTTAGAAGGTAAGAAATTTAATAATATTAATATCATACTTGCAATAAAATCATATTTCAAACGTTTGTCAACAAGATGAATTTAAGTACATAATACTGTTGTGTTTATAACGTTCTTTTATGATAAATATGTATATTGATAGATTTCACAACATGTCACGTGACTTAAGTACATTGTAAATAAACGATCGGGTGAAAGATAAAATTTCTATTCAATACAGTTAACCTTAGTTTATAATACCTTTGTGTCCGAAAGGTAGTTATTTGATATGCAGTGAATATTTGTTGTGTTTGCTTTTGTTGCACGGGGATTCTTTATTTGTTTATTTTTTATTTCATTTTGCCCAATTACTTATCAAATTCCCTTCGAAAACCTACACATATTGAAACAAATTGACAATAGATGAAAATAGAGTAGAATAGATTTTAACTTTAAAGGCAAATTATGCTTCAAAACCAAATAAATTTCTTTCCTTAAAAAGGGCAACATGACTTCTAAAACCTTCCAATAAGGTATCTATTATCATTATCCCCTTAAGACTCAATGTATCGATAAATGTGAAAATATTCGTCATCAGTGTAGCAAAATGTAAATAAATTAGGATTTTGACTTTCATACAAAATCAAAGTCACTAAAACTGTACCAGTTGCCCCCCACCCCGGCCCCTCTAAAAAAAAGCAACAGAAGCAACAGTTCAAGTAATTGACCAATTAGTAACTTTTCGAAATTATAAGAGGGCACAAAAAATTTTGAGAAATAAAAATAAAGCATTTATTAGGTGTAATGGGCCTTAAGGAAAGACATTAGTAAACATTATGTATGTTCAAATATTAGTTAAACATTAAAGATTATTATTAAAATACCTAGAAAATCGCTCCTAGTAAAATAATATGTGGGAGCATGCGTGCACTACACCCGCATATACATATTCTGTTTCATTATTTTCAAGGCCTGGCTACGGTATTGTTAGAGGTCGTTTATTGCGCAAATGAACTTTAGTATCCTTTGTTGTTCAAGATAAGATCTATCTTCATTTCGAAAAAATTTGATACCTTTTTTCATTTTACTTAATCTGACCAAATGACAATATCGTATTGTTTTGTTGTTGTTTTTTCTTCGTTTTTTTAGTTAATGACCTTTAGATCATTTAGTTATTTTATCTAATTTTACTTACCCCTAACGCTATGCACGTCCGTAAACTAAACAGATAAAGGGTGTAATGATTAGTTTGTTGACAGAATAAATTTGGTAAACAAGATCAACAAGGAAAGGCGGCGTTCAACGCACGCAACCCCCACACGATCCAGTAACTTGAGTCAGTTATAAATGTTGAAATTGTCAAAGTTTTATAAAAAAATAAACAATGAAATCATCATAATAAGATGTGTACGGTTTAAGGCAAAATTGAAGTAAAAACTGATTGAAGCATAACAGGCAAACTATGTCCCAGAAAGAAATAAAGTTTTACTTCTTTAGAAATGGCAAACATGAATTTTATAATGTTAAAATAATGTTTTTGGAGTCTGTTAGATGCTAGTTATATGAAGGAAGTAACGATAAATGTGAAATAATTTGTCTTAAAGGTAGCAAAATGCAAACAACATAGTAATTATACAAAATACTAACTGTACATATTACAAAAAAAGAACAGATGAAAAAGATGGTAGTTCAGGCAATTGACAAATGAGTAACATTTTGGATACACAATAATTAAAGATTTTTGAGAAACAAAAATAAAAAACATTTCTGAAGATTAATGGGCCATTGAATATAATCAAAATATGAAACATTCTTTTAATGTAATTATTGTTTTCAGGTATAAATGGAGGTCCCCGGGAAACTTGGTCATGAAGACTCTACATTACTATGTCTTCCGTGTGATAGAGATGGTTTGAAGGAAACAGTTTATGGTTTTTGCCAGGATTGCCAGGAGCACCTATGTGAAACATGCTTCAAACATCACCGACGTGCACGTCCATTAAGAAATCATGTCCTCATTGACAAAGAGTCCATGCCAAAGACGCCGGCAATCGCACCTACAACATCGGACGATACGGCGGGTCATTGCGAGAAACACCTTGATAAACCATTAGAATTCTATTGTAGAGATCACAAACTAGTGGCTTGTTATGTTTGTGTGACTCTGGAACACAAACAGTGTGATGTGGACTATATTCCTGATGTTTCTGGAAACATGTCTGAAGAGATGACTGATATATTAGAACAAATGGAATCGTTGATTACAAAATGTAAATCGGATGTAGAATATGTAAGCAAAGCTGCGCAAAATCTAGATCTGAGTCATGCGAAAGTTGTTGAAGATATCAAAGTTTTCAGGAAAGAAATAAATGAATGTTTGGATAGAATGGAAACCCAGATATTAAAAGAAACTGACACAACTGTAAAAAATGCGAAATGTAAACAGGAAACCGTATTAAATGCTTGCTTAGAGATAACTGAAGAACTTGAATGTTCACATTCGTTGTTAATTGCATTAAGAGAAGAAAACAAGCAAAACAAGCTTTTCATTGAGATGAAAAACGCCGAAAAACGTCTGTCGATATTGACAGATAAGGAAGTGCAAGTATCAGATGCAAATGAAACAATCAAATGTATCCAATTTACAAGGAACACGAGCCTCTTAGATCGACTGAAGAATGAGAATGAATTTGGAAAATTGTTAACATGTGTACAACCGTCTTCAGATAAAACATTAAATTTACAATATGATGATACACTAAACGTGAAGTATAAATCCGATAAGAAAGAATGTAACATCACCGGTATAGCTATGATTGCTCCTATGAAAATTATTGTTGCTGACAATTACAACAACAGTATCAAAATGATTGATGTTGAGACAAAATCAGTTATAACAGAGACAATTTTGTCTTCTCAACCAAATGATGTTATAACTATTCCAGGAAATAAACTAGCTGTGACTTTAACAAATGAAAAATGTATTCAGTTATTGTCTCATACTGAAGCAGAACTTTCATTAGATCGACGTATAGCTGTAGGAGAATATTGCAATGGTGTAGCTTATTGCCAGAATAAGTATGTTGTCTCTTGCTGGGCATCAAAGAAAATAATTATAATCAATCATGAAGGTGATATTCTCAATGACCGTGGTTCTCTTGCTAGGTTTTATGGACCAGTCCGAGTTTCCGTCAGCAATGATGAAAAGTTCCTATATATTTCAGATACGGATTCCGAAAACAATGGCAAGGTTGTGCAAATTGATTGGGAAGGAAATGTTAAGAGCATTTCTAACGACTCGGAATGTAAAGTTCCTTTTGGTCTTCAAATGTTAGAAGATGACACGGCACTTGTGTGTTACGGAGACAGTAACACTATTCTGAGACTGTCAAGCAGCTTAAAATGATGTGACATTATTGGACTAGAGGTAGCAAATATTTATAGCCCAACAGCTGTATCATACTTTGACAGAGAACAAAAACTGTACGTAAGTTGTTCATCAATGAAAGGAAAATGGAAGGCTGATATTGTTAAAATATTCAATGTGTATTGGACCTAGGCGTCACAAAAACTATTGACGTCATTGAATAAACTCTTACAGAAATTGTGTGTACCTTTCATAAACGGATAATATATGACATTAATTAAGACGTTTAAGAATCGTATAATTTTCAATGTTGACATTCTTCACATATAAAGAAAATATACATTGCAACAGTTTCGAATTTTAACAATCTTGTAACGTTGATATGAACATGTTACACAATTATCAGATACATGTTTGAGCAACAGTAAGAATGTTTTAAAATTGGTTGTGAAGGGAATTGCATGAACGTTTTTGAAGAAACAGGATCTTTATGTTTATGGTACTATATGATCTATAACTGATACCTGTGTGTTTCAAAGGCAGCGATACTTCTTGAAACCGCCTGGCAGCTTAAACAGATATGGTATTATTAGACTAGGGAAAGCTATCATCCATAAGCTGTAACATTCTTTGAGGAATAAATGAATGCTAGTATTGTTAAAAGCGGCTGCAACTAAAATATATATCCGAAATTTAGTTTTTCTTTCATTTCTTCTTTCTGCTTAAAAAAGTAGAAAAAAACTATTCCCGACCCGTACATATAATTTTCGATCAGCACGACATTTTTGTTGTTTGTTTGCATGTTCGTGGGGATTTAAGTTATTTTCTTTGACCTTTTTCTGATTAGGTGGTCACTGTACTCCTACTTGAATACTATTGAATTGCCCTTAGGATATGTTGTATTTTGTCTTTTGACGTCTTTTCTGTGATATGCAGGCTTTTCAACCTCTGTTCCCCTTTCAAAATTTCATTTTGTTGAGAAATAGCTTTTAACAATGCAAATAAAGTCCGGTACAGAGCTAATAATATAATGAAGATTGGATATAGATGATTAGTAATATAATTTTTTTTTTAATTAATTATTATTTTAAACCAAATCTATGAGATAATCATGTAAATCCAATGTTTGTTTAACAAGATTAACTTCCGCGTTCCATAAGCAGATATTCCTAATATATTAGTTAATATTTAAGAATATTTATTAAACATTTCAAGAATAAAATTATAGCTACAACATAATTTATGCCTTCACGATTATTTTTTGTATATATTTTTGTTGTTATTCTTCTCTTACGCAACGTTTGGTCTTAAACAAGTCACGTGATATTATTAATTTCATAATGTAGACGAACAAGTGTACCTTTACGTTGAAGGTGTTTTAATGCTAAATCGGATAATAATATATAAAGGTAGGGGTTTTTTTTACACTAAACGTATCTTTACAAATTCGTAACTTTTTCATGATTCAAAGACTTGAATGTTTGTTTATCATTTTAACAAGATAACTTGAAGCAACGCCTTTCAGATTTATGAAAACACATGACACGACATGTTTTCGTTAATTTAAAATAGAACATTTTTCAAAATTGAATATAAATGATGATTTAAATACGTTTTCGGTTGACATTTCCTTATTGATTTATCAAAATATTGATTAAAACTACATACGATATGAAATGTTAAATCAACATGTTTAAAGTATGCACCGGGTAGCTATGTCATGTTTAAAACTCTACAAACTAAAGATAACACAGTATTAATACTTAGTGATACTAAATTCTTTTCTGGATTTTGCCATTTATTACATGTGCAGAAAACTTTGCAACATATTTAACTCTGTCTTCAGCAATTATGCACATTCAAGGTAAATATTCTTATTGTTATCATTTTTATTTTTGATAATAATAGTCTTTAAAATATAGACGTAGAAGTGTAATTGCAAATTATTTATCATTTACGTTGTGAACTTTGTTTTATATGAATTTTGGCCTACTTTCCTTTTGGACCCACTTAGTGAAAACAAACATGGCTAACAATGCTGAATCACCTTGTTTGATTTGCTTCATTGTATGTACGTAATGTTGTAGTTTTTTCTACTTTACAATAGCGAAAATAAATGCATCTTTGCAATACAAAACTGGTTATATTTGATCATATATACGTATAACCTATATTTAGAAACATTTCAGACTCATGTGGTATGACAAATAAGAAATTATAATTTTATTGGATATCATCTAAAATTCACACAAATAGTCATTTGAACGCAACATTTCATATCTGTGCGAATTCATGAAATTAAATATTTACATATTTGACAGTTTTCGGCTTATATCTACTACATATTCCAAAACACGAAAATTTCAAGATATAGACATCTAATCATTCAAAAGGCTACCTATAAGGTATTTGCAAGTATTTTCAATTTTTTACATATTGGACAGTTTTCGGCTTATATATGGTATACCTTTAAAGATCCTGCATGTTGTAATTAAGGATGTAAGTTAAAGTTTATATATGCATATAATTTTTCCTCTAAAACAATTTCAAAACTTCGAATAATATGTTAAATATGTAATGCAAATGTTTATACGTATTATAAATAATCTTTAAGAAATATGCATTCATTTCTTATTGAGAAATTTGGCTTAGACTTTATCGGAAAAAAATGCCTAATTACCTTCCTTTATTTACACGAAATATAAATTCGTAAGTATGCTTTTTGGAACTTACAATATTGATAAAGTTTCATTTGAGGATCATATTTATGATATTAAACCATAAATCAATTGAGTTAAAGGATCTTTAGGAAATATAAGTAAAGAAGTCGGGAAGGCGAATTATTCATCTTAACATAATTGTGAGAAATACTCGTGGGTTTAGTGTAAGATTTTAATAAGAAAGAAATTATACATGGACACAATAATAAACACAAATTATACCAGTTACACAAAATGTTGGATTAACACGCATACAGAATACATCAATTTTTACCAAATTGAGTAAAAAAAAGTTTTCACATTTGTTATAAGTATGATATTTTGAATGCTTTGCAGAGATGACAAATTTCTTTTATACTGACTATTAAATTATAAACAACGCTTGTCACAGGACTGGTATTGCAATAATTTGATGTGTTATTCAGTATGATATTTATCAAACATTATTGCCGTGCACTATTTATTTTCTGATTATTTTAGTTAGACACAGATCGGTGTGACAAGCATTTGATAGATTAATCTTTAAATATTACCGGAGATCTTTACTTCAGTATAGCAAAATAGGATACAATCTACTATAGATATTTTTTGAAGAACTTGTTAAATGCTTATTGTAATTTTCTATTCACATATGGAGATCATTGTACTGAATATTATTATAACTGTTTTTTTTTCAGGAAAGTTTGGTAAAATACGTAATTTTTTTTTATGAATGATATATTTATTAAACATAAAAAGCGTAAAAATTAATACAAAATAAATTAAATAAAAAAGAAGAAAAATATTATTTTTATTTAACTTTTTTCAGACTTTCATGGAGGTTCCTGGTAAACAAGACGAAGAAGCTTCAAGAGCTGATGACACAACATTAATATGTCTCTCTTGTGATATTGATGGTTTAAAGGAACCAGCCTATGGCTTCTGTCAGGACTGCCAGGAGCACCTATGTGAAACATGCTATAAACATCACAGACGTGCACGTCCATTTAAAAACCATGAACTCATTGACAAAGAATCCATGCCAAATATCCGGGTAATTTCATCGGACGATACCGCAGATCTTTGCGCCAACCACCAAGATAAGCCATTAGAATTCTATTGCAGAGACCACAAATTGGTGGCTTGTTATGTGTGTGTTACATTGGAACACAAACAGTGTAAAGTGGACTATATTCCTGATGTTTCTGGAAGCCTGTCTGATGAGTTTAATGATCTATTAAAACAAATGGAATCTTTAATAACAAAATGTCAATCAAACATAGAAAATATTAGCAAAGCTGCCCAAAGTCTAGACCAGAGATATGCAAAATTTGTTAAAGATATAAGTGCCTTTAGGAAAAAATTGAATGAGTGTCTGGATCGAATGGAAACCGAAATAATTAATAAAGCCGAATCGTTTGTAAAGAATGCAAAAATTAAACAAAAAACCATAAAATCTGCTTGCTTAGATGTAACTGAAGAACTTGAATATTCACATTCGGTTGTAAGTAAATTAAGAGAAGATGCCAAGCACAACAAGCTTTTTATTGCGATGAAAAATGTCGCAAAACGTCTGCCTTTACTGGAAGATAAAGAAAATTAGTATTAGATGAAAATACAATAGATGATTGTATCAAATTAACCCGGAACACAGATCTGATTAATCAATTTGAATCTGAGAATGTGTATGGAATATTGTTTACAGGTGTACAACCTTCTCCAGATAGAACAATAAATATACAATATACGGATACGATTAACATGAAGACCAAATCCGAAGAGAAACAATGTAACATCATGGGTATGGTTATGATTGCTCCTACAAGAATGATCGTTGCTGACAATACAAACTTCAAAATCAAACTAATTGACAATGAGAAATGTGTAGTCGTGACGGAGAATAAGATGTCCTCACAACCGGTTGATGTTATAATTCTTCCAGAAAATAAGCTTGCTGTGACATTGGAAAGTGAAAAGTGTATTCAGATAATGTCTTATACTGATGTAGATCTTTCATCAGATCGACGTATAGATGTTAAAGAACTTTGCAACGGGATAGCTTATTGTCATTATAAGTTTGTTGTCACTTGCTGGTCATCTAAAAAAATAATCATTATCAATCTTGAAGGATGTATTCTCAAAGTTTTACGTTCTCCTGCTATGTTTAATGGGCCTAGCAGAGTTTTGATCAGCAAGGATGAGAAGTTTCTATATGTAACAGACAGAGATTTGAGGTCTAACAGCAGTGTTATGAAAATTGATTTGGAAGGAAATCTTATTAGCGTTTTTAAAGAGTCAGGATATGCTGTTCCTTATGGTCTGCAACAATTAGAAGACGAGACGATACTTGTGTGTTTTCAAGACAGAGGAACTGTCCTGAGACTAACAAGCAGCTTAAAGAGATGTGACATTATTGGACCAGAGAAGGAAAATATGTATCGCCCAAAAGCTATAACATACTGTCACATATATCACAAACTTTATGTAAGTTGTTCATCAGAGAAAGGGAAACAAAACGCTGATATTGTGAAAATATTCAATGTTAAGTGGATCTGAACTTTACAAGGGAATATTACGTCATCAAATCACAATATATCTTAATTATGGCAAGGAATTTCAATTATTAATTGCTTTTTGGAAAAAAGAGTTACTAGTATATTATCTTTCCCATAACATCTTGGAACCCTAAAATTACACTGATTCATCCAAATTTAATAAGAACGAATGTCTCTAACAGGTACAAAAGTTTCTTTCATATATGAAGGGCCTAGATATTGGCAATTTTAAAAATATGATTTACACGTAATTGCTTATTTCTGTTTTGCAACATTTAATAAAAACATATTAGCTAGTATAACATTATTGACACTATATTTAGGTCCCATGCCTTGTATAATTCTAACAGTTTTATTTTTACAAAGTTGAGTCCTACTTTTAAAACACTTGTTCAGACTCGGGTACCAAAAAGAACATCATGTATAATCGAGGTGGCACTGTATTAGTGCTGAGCATAAATATGTTATAGTCCTAAAATATAAACCATTTGCTTGCCTATACACAAATTTAAGGCGTTAATTTACCTTTGTAAGAATAATATTAACAATAGAATCACCAGACAAAGAATCATTAATATTAAAACCTAGATACATGTATTTGACAGAGTTTGTGGATTCAATAACATGTCAATTACAAACAATTTTAAATACTTCAACTTGTTTTATTTTATGCTGGGAACCAAACATATATAAGGCCCTCAGTCTTTCCTAGATGTAGTGGCAATTTGTTATCTTAGATTTTGCGAGCAAAAAGAATTACACTGTCATCCGCATACAGGATAAGCTTACATTCTTCACCTTTACTAATTCACATGTCATTTACATAGCACAAAATAATAGAGGACCCATGATGCTTCTCTTTGGGAACCCCACATGTAACAGGCATATAATCTGATAGAATACTTTCAACACTAACAATTTGTTTTATACCTTTTAGATAAGGCATAAACCAGTTAGTATTTGATATACCCATTAATTTAAATTTTCCACATAAAATGTCATAGTCAACAGTATCGAATGTTTTTTGTAGGTCTAACATTATCTTGCCTGTGTATAAACCTTGGGTGTTATAATCCATAAGGTGAGTAAGACATGTGTCAGTGGCCTATCGTACGTCATTTGTTTTTCATAAAAAATAGGTTAAAATGGTTTTTGCATAGAAAAGATAACTTTATTCGATTATAATAATCGCGTTTGCTGGATAAATTAAAGGATTAATATGATTTGCTTTACAATGACCTAGATTATTTATCATGTTTTATACTGAAATATTCTTAAATAGCGTGCCTTTTATGATGAGACTCTATGAAACCGTAACCTCCATTTTCACATTGGACTTTTTATTGCGTTTGAAAGGTATTTAGGTTTTCCTTACAATCAATGACCAAAGCAATGCTGATAAAAAAAGACTTCATAGCCCACCTTTTCGTACAGAAAATCTGTTTATTTAGTAATTCATAAAATGATGCATATATAGGCCAATTTAACATAAAAACGCTTCTGAAGTTCAAAAAGGAGTGTCGATTATGGAAATGTTTGATATATAGTTAACTTTGAAACAATTGACTTCAAAGATATTGAAACTTAATACTAGAACATTTTGACCGATCTCTTCTGCATAATTATAATGCTGCGTGTGTTTAGATAGCATACTGAAGGTTAAAACTAGTTATAGGGTTAAACTTTTTATAGGATATAAAAGAAGAAATAAAAAAAGACATTCAGATGAAAAAGTTTCTCTGACAAATGTCACTTTAACTGTATGCTAGCTGTGAGAACATTATGGGCTTATCAAATTTACATCTTCGCTAATTTGACTGTCTTAACAAGATATAAAATTTTTAGTATGTGCCTAGGTACATTTGTGTAGAGTTAGAACTTAATAATTGACACATCTTACTGCTGCAAGAACAATACGCAGATAAATTTTAACTAAATCAGCTTATTTGTTTTTGCCAGGACTGTTAAAACGTGAAATATATCAAATGTTTCAAATAAGGATAAACAGGATAAAACAGAAGTTCAACATGTTTGCTTGCAATTAATACAATAACAATTACATTATGTAAACAAAAGGAAAAAATCACCGAGATCAAAACATAAAGCATCTCTGATCCTTTTAGAATTATTAAAAATATGCAATCAAACACGAAAAATACTGTACCAAAATCAGAAAACTGCCTTTCTATCTATAATTTGCATTTTTTTCACATAATGAACACCTCAATGCAGGCGCCAGTGCTGACAGATTGTTGTAGTGACGACAGAAACCTAAAAATTTGCTGATTACTACATGTAAGTTACAAACTTATAAAACTATCAAAGGTTGTTTTGAATATCATATTACGCAAATAAGGACATTAGACTTACATTGCTTTAGACTTACTGTCCATTGACTGGTGATACTCTCAGGTAATTTTAAACTCGTTTCCCAATTTCCAAAAATATTTTGAGCGTGTTAATATATACAGCTGAAAATGATAGTTTGCTCTTTTTCTTTGTTCACAATATTTCTGAAATATATGAAAGGATAACATGTTATACATATACACATTAGATTTATTCATGCCAAATATCAACTCAGTGTGTCTTTCTTGAGAATGTTACAGACGTCTAAACATTCCCTGTTGAACTGTATTTCTGATGATATGAAGCAGTATTTATGATTGATGTAAAAGATAGAACATTGTGGGATTTACGAAATGGTATAATGAATGATTAATTACTTGTTTGATAATACAGCTAGATTGTCGTTTCGGAAAGTATGAAATAATTGCTGATACTTGATACAATCACGGATCTTGCCGAAAAGTCACCGGAGCGTGATGTAAAATAAATCATATAACAAAATATCACTTAAATTCAATGATGAGAGTTAGTTCTAGCGAAGTAACGTTTAAAGAGTTTGTAGTTGCAATGTCTGTTATTCAAACAGTTCAAAATGAACTCAAACATAAGAAAAGTTTTTCAATTTACAACTGATGTTCAAATGTAGCTAATTTGTATGATCCAGGGCCCATAACCTTATTTCAGGTATTTCCATAGGTCGTTTACCGTGTACTACTTCGTACGATATGTATGTTTGTCTTCGCATTGTCAAGTATGTGGCGTATGTACACTACTGTTTCTTGATGATCTTCACCATATTCATATAAATTTTAACTACCATATCAAATTCTGTTACACTTTACCATGATTTGCTTAAGCCGGTGCTAAAGGGCGTAGATGGTAGTTTTCACTTGACAGTACCTACATTGAATAGGCTCAATCAAACCGAGCCTGCAATATTTTCAATTTTGCCGTGTTGGTCTTTCTTTAGGGATTCCTATTTTCTCTATTTTGTAAAGTTGAAATTGTGAATTGATGATTGATGAAATTGAAATAGTGAATTTAAGAATGTAATTTTTAATTCATGAATTCGAAATTGTGAATTCGTTAAGTTGAAATCGTTAATACATAAAGTTGAAATCATGAATTCACGAATTCAATATGTTGAAATCGTGTATTCTTGAAGTCGATATTGTTTACTCATATAAAAGAAATTAAGAACTCATAAAGTTGAAATATCCCCACCCGTCTTCCATATATAGTTCTTATATTGCTTCCAACAATACATTTATATACTATTGCAGGTTTCAATTTACAATTTGATTGATATATTGATAAGCAATTGATTTCTTTATTTTATTCTAAAAGGGGTTGCAACTAAAATGTATTCCAAGTTTAGTCAATTGTTATGATTTCTTCTCTTTGTCTATTTACAGTTGAAAACTAATCTTTGTTAACACTGTAAATGAGAAAAAAGCCTTTTTAATACAAATAAGGTTTGGTACAGAATGGCTCGAGATATACTAGTATAATAAAGATGGGATATATATGGACAGGAATAGTATTTGTTTTATTTGAATACAGATGTTGAGATAATCATGTAAATCTAATGTTAAGTTAAAAAGATGCACTCCCTCTGTTGACAAAATTAAACTTCCGCGTTTCATAAACTTTGTTTAAAGGTAAGAATATACTTTTTAAATTTGAAAGGAAAATTTGACGGTTAAAACGTATGATTTAAGTAAATATTATTGTTTATATTGAGGCTGTTTTTTTCCATCACGTTTGTTCTTTATGGTTAAACAACTCACATGATATTAAATAAAAACTATGGATACATCATTAACAGTAATATTTTCCATAGATACACAAATTATTTTGCCTTTTAAATTTACGCCGAATCGGATAATAAGATAAAAGGTAGGCTTTTAATAAACACATTTTACAATGTCATTATCATTATTAATAATTCAAAAACTTGTATGTGTGTTTATCATTTTAACATTAACTCTTGAACAGTGACTTAATAATGACATGCTTCCGAAAATTTATATTAAAAAATCGTTCAAAAAAATGAATCATAAATATTGATTTAAGGACAATTTTGGTTGATAATTCTTACAAGTGTACATTGAGAAATACCTCTAAAATGGAAAGGCAGTCTTAATATTAAGTAAAGAAACAACAAGTAATTTAGGTTAAAAATCGTGAACAAAAATACAAAAATACAAAACACAATTGTTAACACATTCAGTGTCTTTTAAACGGACCTATTTCAAATGGACAAGCATTTAGTGTTACACTTTAAAGATCCTGTATGTTGTAATTAACAACGAAACAAAACTTAAGGGAAATTTTAAATATGCATATAGTTAGTCTCCTAAAAAAAATTCCCAAATATATATTAAATATGTACTGTAGATGTTTATGCGCATTATATGTAATCATTAGATATATGCATTCATTTCTTATTGAAAGATTTGGCTAAGATTTTATCAAAACTAAATTTCTAATTACCTCCCTTTATGATATGAAATGTAAATTCGGAAATATCTTTACAAATAATGCTTTTTCGAGCTTACAATATTGACAAATCTTCATTTACGCATCATATTTATGATATTCAACACTAAAAAAAATGAGTAACAGGGTCTTTAAGACGTTGGATTTATTAAATCATTTCACAGGACTGATGGTACAATAAATTGATCTCCTATTTAACGATAATGAAAATATTTACTAAGACCCAACGAAAGGTAAGAAATTCATGAACATTAGGATTAATGTATAATTAATATCATATTTAGTACGTCTGCTGACAAGGGTGGTTTCAATATGCAATTTTGTTGTTTACTTTAAGATCCTGTATGTTGTACTTGGGCTTGTATACCACATTTAAATGAAATTATATATATGTATATAATTATGCTTGTAAAACAATTTTCAAACATAGAAGAATATGTCAAATATGTTCTGCAAATATTTGTACATATTATATGTTATCATAAAAATATATGCATTCATTTTTTATTGATAAATTTGACTGAGACTTTATAAAAAATAATTTTTTATTACCTCCCTTTATTTACATGAAATGTTAAATTTGGTAATATCTTGATAAATAATGCTTTTTGGAACTTACAAAATTGATAAATCTTAATACGAGCATCATATTTATGATACAAAACCATAAAAAATGTGTGCTACAAGATCTTTAACGGTTTTCTTTTTAGTAAGATTTAAGGTTTTACAACAAGTCATGAAACATTTAATATTTTATCTAATCTAAATGAACTAAATAAAAGATTTCTAGCTTTGAAATTTTGTTAATGAAAATTAACAGGGAAACGTTATAGTCATGTGCAATAAGAAATTATCTGATATGCCATGAAGATTTTAAGTATAAATAACTTTACAGAATCAGAAAATATGTGTGATGACTTAATGACTCGTAGTTGAAAGTTCTTGTCATGTCTCTGTGTCTTTTTTTTAATTTTGTGTATGTGTGTTTGTATACGCTTAGGCTTTCGCAAACCTTGCTACGGCATTGCTGGACACTTATATTAAAAGCTTTTTAAATCTGACATTATTAAAGTACGGTCGTTGTTTTTTGAATTTCATAAAGGTTCTTCTTTTTAAATGGACTTAAAAGATGGATAAAAAATTTCCATTCATGGTCAATATATTAGATAAATTTATGGAATACAAATAGAACACTATGACATAAAACATCATGGGGGCTAGTAAATGTAAAATGAGAAAGCTTGCCTCTTCGGTTAAAACCTTCTGGAGCAAACTGTTGATTCCTGGAACAAGAAACTTTGAACTCACCTAGTTCTGGTGAATTACAGGAACGGATTCGTATGTGTGTTTTATAGCTTGCCGAGGAGAAGATAACATTTGATAATATTTACCTGGTTTATATTATATAAGGCAAAAATCAAATGAACAGTCCGTAAACTGAATATTTCCTTATTTTTACATTATCATGCATTTGAGTGAAGTAAATAAAAATGTTTTGGCCCGAAAATATATAATGAACCTAGACCTAATTGTCTTTAATCAAGTTATGATGTATTGACCGTTAATTTAGGCAAATTTATTTGATTTCACTTCCTCAGTCAACTATGTGACATTAAAGTGCGCCGTTCACAAGACATGAAAAAGGTGCAATGATTTGATTGTTAAAATACTTAGCTGGTCACTTTATGAAAAGTGTATGGTTTCAGACAAAAATTAAGTTTTAAGCCAAAATATAATTGTTATTTTTTTCATGTAATATTTTTTTCAGGTATAGATGGAGGTCCCAGGAAAACTAGGCATTGATGTCACAAAATTAGTATGTCTCCCGTGTGACATTGATGGTTTGCAGGAACCTGCTTATGGCTTCTGCCAAGACTGTCAAGAGCATCTATGTGAAACATGCTACAAACATCAAAGACGCGCACGTCCATTCAAAAACCATGCTCTCATTGACAAAGACTCTATGCCAATGTCCCTGATAATGTTACCTAATATATCTGACAATAGAGCGAATCTTTGCGAGAAGCATCAAGATAAACCGCCAGAATTTTATTGCAACGATCACAAATCGGTGATGTGCTATGTCTGTGCTACACTAGAACACAAACAATGTAATGTGGACTATATACCTGATGTTTCGGAAAACATGTCTGTGGAGTTGAATGGTATATTACAACAAATGGAATCGTTGGTTATTAAATGTATATCCAACACAGAAAATATTAATAAAGCTACGCAAAATCTAGACCAGAGTCATGCAAAAGTGGTTGAAGATATCAAAGTATTGAGGAAAGAGAGAAATGAATGTTTGGATAGGATGGAAACAAAAATATTGGAGGAAGCTGATATAGTTGTCAAGAATGCAAAATATAAACAGGAAACCGTTAAAGCTACTTCCTTAGAGATTATGGAGGAACTCCAATGTTCATATTCGTCGTTAAATACATTAAAAGAAGAAAACAAGCAAAATACGCTTTTTATTGAGATGAAAAATGCCACAAAACGTCTGCAAATACTGACAGATAAGGAAAAGCAAGTAATAGAAGCAAATACAGCAGACGATTGTATCCAATTTACACGGAACCCAAGCCTAATAGACGGTCTTAAGACTCTGAATAACTATGGAATATTGTCAACAAGAGTACATCCGTCCTCTGATAGAGCATTAGATTTACAATATTCGCATACAGTAAATGTGAAATCTGCATCCGATAAAAAAGAGTGTAACATCACAGGTATGGTTATGATTGCTCCAAAGAAACTGATTGTTGCTGATTATAATAACAACAGCATAAAACTGATTGACGTTGAGAATGGTTCAATAATAATAGAAGCAAGGATGCCTTCCAAAACGTATGAAGCTATTAAACTTTTAGGAAATACGCTTGCTGTGACTTCGGTGGAGGAAAAGTGTATTCAGATATTGTCTTATAATGACACCGGACTTTCATTACAACGACATATAACTGTCAGCGAAGCATGCAATGGGTTAGCTTATTGTCAAAATAAGTTTGTTTTTTCCAGCTGGAAAGTAGGGAAACTAAGCATTCTTAACTTAGATGGAGATGTTCTTAATGTGTTTGGTTCTCCTAGTCTATTTCATGGGCCCCTCAGAGTGATATCCAGTAATGACGAGAAGTTCCTTTATGTATCAGATGCAATGAACGGCCAAAATCACAAGGTTATGAAAATTGACTTTGAAGGAAATGTTAAGAACGTTTTTGAAGAACCAGGATATGAATATCCTTACGGTCTGCAACAATTAGAAGATGACACGACATTAGTGACTTACAGAGGCAGTGATACTGTCCTTAGATTGTCGAGCAGTTTAAAAAGGTGTGAGATTGTTGGACTAGATAAATTAAATATTTATCAACCGAAAGCTTTAACATACTGTGACAGAGAACATAAATTGTACGTCAGTTGTTCAACCAAGAAAGGACAACTGAATGCTGATATTGTCAAAGTATTCAATCAGAAGTGGATATGAACATTACAAAGAAAATGATGGATATGATAAAAGTTTCTTTACAAAATTGTTGTGTCTTCATTATATGAGAACTATACAATTGAAATATAAACATGCACACTTCGTAATATTTCAACTAATGCATATTTCTAATGCTGTCGTAACATTTGATCCATAATACATAAATCTCATTTTAATTTCTACAAGAACGTTTCTTAGTGGACATACCGTATGTAACCATGTCCTCAAATCAAAGACGGTATCTAGATAGAATTGGCTAATGGCTCAGAGTAATTCCGGTTGTCCCGAACCGACGAAGGTAATCTGTTAAACTATTATGAAATATTAAATAATTCCGATCTTCAGTCGCATGTTTCCTACACAGTTGGGGCAACTGCTTCTAACAAAACCCATCTTTGTACGCTTTAAAACTAAGCAGTCTGATAAAGCCGTCAATGCTTATTATAAGGCTATTTCAGAAGCTTGTCGTAAATTGTGACTGAGCAGGTGCCACTCGAGGTAATGGATCGGAGACGTTCACTTATCCCGAAGGTGCGAAGGGCCAGAATAGCTGACAAGAAGTCAGTCTTGGTCCGGGACAAGCTTTTCATCAACAACCAGATGTACGCACAGACCACCAAAGTTGAACCACATGGCACAGCCTCAAAGGCAGGAGAGTGTATGACTGGAATGTTCTGTCCTGAAATATTAAGGGTCTAAAAACTGTTAAAGTAATGTTGAATTATTAATTTTTGGATGTACACTTTTCCTCCACCGAAGTCACAGCAAGCGTATTTCCTAAAAGTTTAATAGCTTATGTTTCAATGTAAATAGATGTTTATCTGTTTATATCATATGTTTATGGGTGTAAAGCAGGAAGAGCCACTATCCCCTCTATTTTATGGGGTTTTATTTTTAGCTCACCTAAGCAAAACTAGCTCATTGCCAGCTATTGTCATTCCCCCTATATCCGTCATCTGGCATCTAGCGTCGTGTGTTATTATCAATTTCTTTCAACAACATATCATCTGAAACCAAGGACTGCACATTTACAACTTTACAGGAATGATTCTTAGATTGTCCCCTTTAAAAGTTATACAAATGGTCTGTTGCATAAGTTTTTCACAGAGTCTGAAAAAGAGTTTCAAATGCCAATTTAAAAAAAGTATCTTGTTTGAAAGAACAAAACCCAGAATTTTGATATTTGGTTCATGATTTTATCTGTAGGTCCTCTACCAAAGTTTGCCAAATTTTATTTTTTGTGTCAAATTGGACCCACCCCGGGAATCATAATTTTTCCTTTTATGTATATAGTAAGAATTGACAAAGGCTAGATATTAGGTATTTAGCATAAAAAATTGTGTTGTAGACCTCTACAAAGATTGTTCAATATAATCGTTGTGTCACAATTGGCACCGCTTCGGGGGTCAATAATTATCATTATGTATATATAGTAAAAACTTTTAAAATCTATATAGTAAACACTTTAAAATCTTCTTTTCTGAAAGTACAAGACCCAGAGCTTTGATATTTAATATATATCATCTAAAGATTATCTCCCAAATTTGTTCAAATTTTGCCCATAGTGTCATAATTGACCCTATCCCGAGGGGTCAGAAGTTTTCTTTTAATGTAAAAACTTAAAGAATTTTCTTCTCTGAGAGCATAAAACATCGTTTTCAATGTTGTTAGAATTTTGTCTCTAGTGTCAAAATTGGCCAAACCCGGTGGCCATATGCTTTCCTTATATGTATATAGTAAGAAAATAAGAAATATCTTCTCTGAAATGACAAAGGCAAAAGGTTAAATAATTGGCGTGACCTTTTCTAAGTTTGATCAAATAATGGCCTTTGAGTCATATTGGCCCTGCCCCGTTGGCATAGATTTTTATTACAAACATATAAAAATAATGGGACACCTTTCCTCTGAAGCGTCAAGGGCTGGAGCTTAGATATTTGGCATGAAACATTGTGAACCTCCACAAAGATTGTTCAATTTATTGCCCTAAGTACTATTTAAGCATTTCTCTAGGGGTCAAGATCATTCTTTATATACATTTACCAAAAACTAAAAATAATGTTTTCTGAAAAGGATAAAGCTTTATAGAGCTTAAAATATGACATGAAACATTGTCTTGTGGACCTGTATTAAGATTGTTTAAGTAAATGCCTTTGCCTTTAGTGTAGAACTATGAAATTTAGACCATGCGCACAGTTCGAGATGTTAAATTGAACTTGGATATAACTGACCTAAATTTTGACAAGTGATGTTCTTTCTTGTCCTTTGATGTTGATTTTTTAAAATTGGCTTTTTTGGCTTTTTTATACACAGCCATGACATTTTGACACAATGTGTGCACAATTCCAGGAGTAGAACTGAAATTAGATATCAAATTACCTTATCATTGACCTACTTTCTTATATTTGGTGTACAGCAATGAAATTATGACCATGTAAATAGTATTATTAAGAAATATATTTGTCATGAAGTTTGGTCTAGTGACCAACATCGTTCAATTTCTTGTAATAAAAACTAGTTTTGAATGCTTTTACATAACAGTATAACCTCAGGTGAGCGCTTGAGGCCAATTGCCCTTATTATTTATTGAAAATATGTGTACAGATATTTATGTATGTTATTTTTTATTTTCTTATTCTGTAGTTTTTTTATCGTAAAAACAAACAAAACTGCAGAAACACAACGCAAACTTGAAGTTGAAGGGAATTGTTGAGTTATTTTATAACAATGAGAAATTTTAATATCAGATAATGATTTGTCAGTATTTATAATGTATTATCTTCTTATATTAACATTTATTTATTTATTTTGCTTATCTGGAATACATGTTGATTTAATTAACTTTTCTGAGTTTGTGTGTAAAATATGCCAAGAATGTGGTATTTATAAATGCAATGTCCTGCTTAATTTGATTGAAGGATATTTGGCTAGTGTTTTTTTATTATATCAAATCTGTAAGATCTGTTTATTGCATTGATTGATTTGTTGTTATATACCCGGAACAAAATGTGGGCGTATAATGTTATACACATGGTCGTCCGTAAGTCTGTCCGTCAGTTAGCAGTTTTCGTGTAAGGTCTGGATCTTTTGAACCGGTAAAAGGAAATTGAAGATACTGGGCAGAAATATAAACAATTAAAAGGCGATGTTAAGGGCGCACATTTGACTTTTTCAGGCCATGGTCACACTTAGTCATTTTGTATCAATTTCAAATTTTGCGTTCGCTTTGTATATTTATAACCGAAATAAATTAAAACCTTTTGCAGAAATATTCCTTTTAATGAGACGGTATGCAGAACACAAGTTCAGATTTCCTGATATCAAAATTGACCCCGCTTCGGGATAACTTGATTTATAAAAAATCTGAAACAGGAAAACACGTTTAAGTTTCATTGTAGGAATGTCTAGAGCTTAGATATTTAGCATGTAACATTGCCTTAGTAACCTTTACAAAACTTACTTGAATCGTGCCAAATGGTTCAATATTGGCCCCGTCCCTGGGGTCACTTGATTGATATAGATGCATTTGAGAAAGACACACCTGAGACTTATTGTATGAAACTACAATACCCAGAGTTTACATGTTTTACATATAATATCACCTGTATAAGAAAACACATTTTAGTCTTATTTTGGGAAACTGCAATGCCAAAAGCTAAGATGTTCAACATGCAACATTACCTTGTGACATATGCAAAATTGTTATTAGTTATGGCCCTGGTGTCAAATTGGTGGGAAGTTTCTTTTCCTTCACAACTAACAAGGTTGATAATAAAATAATATTGACAGTTAAAGCATTATTTTTTCAAACAATAACCTAACATTATCAGCTTTTACTTTGAATATAGCTTGATTTAGAGATTATTCTCATATATAAATCAAAAGGCTTTTCATTTGACAATTGTAAAAGCATACATACCTGATCCCAAACACACTTTTGACAAAAGTTGATTTTTGAGAGAAGATTCGACATTTTATAAGTTTTTCCAGGAGGCCATGGGTAAACTGTTTGCATGATATTCACTAAAAAAAACATCGATTTCCAAAAATATCTTCTATATATCCTTTATATTAATCCGTGTTTGGGAAGGGTCATGACCTCTTTCCCTACCGCTGTATCTACGCGAAATATTTCACAAATTAGCTCAAATTTGTGACTTGTAGCATGCTCACAGATTGTTGGTGTTGGGATTTATTAAATTCATATACGACTGTTTAACACTAGTAGTTTGTACACATTTTAAGATTGCATCATGTTTCGGTGCAGTTTGTCAAAGCTACCATAGATTGTCCTTTTCCTTTCTGGTGGCCCAAGTTGCCTTACTGATTAGGGTCAGCTATATTTTCAGTTTCCCGGATAATTGTGCGAATTGCAAGCTGAAGTTTTATATTCATTACAACTAAATTCAACAAACTTTGTGGACGTAAAAATGATTCGTCACTAATTTTTTTCCTTCTTTTCCCCTCTAAGTCAAAAGAAAGATACATTTTGTACCACATTTGCCTCTTTGGAGGCATCTAAATACCACACAGTGCATAATTATTTTCTAATGAATTTAATGAAGAAGATACTACCGAAAGTTAATTACAATTATTGATATGGAAATAGAATGATAAATGTTCAATTGTTAAATGATGAACTACTCGTATATTAAAATAATATAACATGTAATGATATAATTTATGTACAGTACACACTTGCAAATATGTATCTATGCTATGCATTCAGTTTTTACCAGTGTACTTTCTTAACTTTATTAATCATTATTGTCATTTTTTGCGATACTGCCCACACGAATAGAATTCTATTCTTAAAGCCAGTCAATCTGTATTAAAATATATACAAAAATCTTAAAAGTATGTCCTGTTGTTAAGTTTTTATATATAAATATGTTTTCACTTTTCGCATGTATTGTAAATATGTTGATGTGATTAATTATGTCATACCTTTCTGAACCCGCGTATGTTAATCTTTAAAGACGTATATTGTAACAGCGTATTGGCATGCGATATTCATGTATATATATATTTGTGTATATG